GTAAGCTCATACTGTTTATTTTTGATGTTAGTGGCCGTTGATGATCAATGCCGAGATTCATTAATTCACTAGGGGTTTCAAATGGTGATATTATAATTCTGCCTTCTTACTTTGTTTGCTAACTAGAATGCTTTTTCGTTTGTTTGTTTATTGTGGTTTAAGTGAAAGTTTACATTTCAAGTTAGTCTCTTATACAAAAATTTATACATACATTGTTATGTGACCCTAATTGCTCTCCCTATACTATGACAGCACACTCTTCCTTTTAGACTGCTTCTTTAATGAGAGAACTTCCTTCATCTATTATTTGGTTACCCAGTGGTATTGTTTGTTTAAAAAGTCAGGATAAATGATTTCCCTTTATTTGCCTGCTTTCAAAATAGTTGGTTCACTAGCATTTTCCAACAGTGTCAGTCCATTACAAGTATTATCCTTATTGATCCTCAAATTGCGCCATCTTTGGCCAATGGAAGCCTTCAAGTTGGCTCCTGAGTCCTGTTGACACAACCCTGGTAATCTCTGGTAACTCTCTTGCTATCTATTAGGACAAAATGTTCTGGGCTCATTTTGAACATTTCTAGTCCCAGACCCAGACTGAGCCATCTCTCTAAGGAGTCCTGGTTACTTTCAGTGGGGAAATAGTATTTCAGGATCACAATCTGTATACTAATGGTGATTATTGCAGCTGGCTTGGTCATTGTGTTCAGACATTTTCAGTGTTCAGAGTCAGGAAATATGTTTTTGTTTGTTTTTTAAAGATAAGATACATCGTGAGTTCATACTGCTACTTCCAATTCCTATTTTACTACTATGGGATTTTTACTAAATTTCTTTTATATCTGTATCTCCTTTCTCCCACACTGAGGATCTCTCTTCAGCAACACCAAGAATGACAGGATTGGAATATCACATAAGTACTTCTTTGTTTTATCCCACCATACACTCGTGGCAGTCTAAGAATAATAGTACCAACACTACCACTCACTACTAGAAGTACTCTCTTAAAATCTTTTTAAGATTTTTTTTTCAGTTCTTTTAGTCCTTAGGGTATATCTTTCTAGGGATGTTTAGTCAGATTCTTGTGTTTTTAAGTTAGTTGTAATAGTTTCTCTCTATCACTAACTGGACTATACAGTTAGGTATCATTATAACTTTTAGAAATTTCTAGCAACATTTACCTGGGATGAAACACTTTGAAGACACTGTTGAAATGTCTTCATTTGAGAATAATGGTAAAACTTGTTGTTTTTGTTAGGTGCCGTTGAGTAGATTCCAGCTCATAGCAACCTTACGTACAATAGAATGAAACACTGCCCAGTCCTGCACCATCCTCACATTCGTTGCTGTGTTTGAGCCCATTTTTGCAGCCGCTACCCTCCTAAAAACAGATTCTCATGGTGTCACTTTCCTTCTTTAAAAAATCTTTGCTGCTCCCTATTTCCCACCAACTGTGATCCAAGGCCCATGGCCTGGCACTCAGGGTTTTTTATAATCTGGCCTCTGCCAACCATTGCAGCCTCATGTTCTAACCCATGCCACAGTCTCACAGAACTTCTCTTTGTTCCCTCAATTCTCTGCAGTGTGGAATGCCCTTCCCTGCCTTGTCTACTTAGTGACTTCGTATTTATTCTTTAGGACCCATTTCAAATACCCTTTCCTTGGTGAAGTTTTTCTTGCCTCTCCAGGTAAAATTATGTCCTCCCTTCTCTGTGCTCTCCCACAGCCCCTGTATGCTCCTCTGTTACAGCAATTATCTTGTTTACTGTTACTTCCTAGACTGGGCAGAGATCTATTTATCAGGATAGCCCCAGCACCCAGCAGGCATTTAGGGAAAGCTTGATTTGAATGTGTGACAGTATACAGATCATGTGGCATCCAAAACTTTCCGGGGTTTATTTGCCAAATTGTTTGGGGACTTTTTATGTGTTCATTTATTGAAGGCCTCCTGTGTACTAGGTGCCGGGGCTACTGAGGTAAACAGTAGAGATAGGTCCTTACCCTCTCAGATTTTACAGCCCAATTTTTTGTTTCATGCATCACACAAACTAGAAGGCCCTTCTAAATTAAAGAGAGAATCATGACTTTGGGAACTGCTAATTGGAATACCCCAGACCAGGCAGTGGTGACATTGGCCAGGCTTGGGTGCAGGCCTGGGGCAAGGGAGAGAGCAGGGCATGCCTGTGCCACAGTGGGGTCACCCACGGTGGGGAGCCAAAAGTGGCCAGGAGTTGGGTCCTAGTCTGGGAAGAAGCAGAGGCAAACACTGAAAGGCAAGGAAGCATTGGCTGTTGGTGACATTATGGATCAAGTTTGGCACAAAGGGCAGTACGGCCTTACTTGCCACCCTCTGGCCTAAGTGCTAGGAATTCCCTACCTTTGTCCTCCAGGCCACCCATTAAAAGGTGGCAGCAGAAGGGAAGTTTCTGTCTTCAGATCTTCCTCTAGTCTTGACATTAATCTGGAGCAGACAGCTAGAAAGACGAGAGAAAAACAGAGTGTGTGTTTATGAAAATAAAATCTTTAGTGCCTGCCCTGCGGGCTGGTTTGTCCCTACATTTATTTAGCATTTCAGAAACCTGAGCTGATGTTTACTAGGAGACTGACTAGGGTTTAGGTTCTTTTCCTCCAGAAAATTACAGCTTCTACCCCTCTCTAACCACTTTCACAGATACTTTCTTGATAACTTTTCCCTTTTCTTGAGCCTTCTTAAAAACTTTTTTTTGCCTCTTGTTGCTTAAAGAACAAAACCCAAGCTCCCTAGCTTACTGTGATCTATCCCTAATCTATTTGTCCTGCCTCATATCCTGCCATTGTCCCCAGTATAACCTTATGTTCAGCTATCACAAAGAGCTTTCCATTTCCCAAATCTTTTTATGTCCCTCTGTATCCACTTTTGGAGCCTTGGTGGTGCAGTGGTTAAGAGCTTGGCTGCTGACCAAAAGATCAGCAATTCGAATCTACCAGCCACCCCTTGGAAACCCCATGGGGAAGTTCTCTTCTGTCCTGTAGGGTCCCTATGAGTCAGAATCAACTCGACGTCAGTGGATTTGGTTTGGTTTTTTGGTATATCCACTTTGGGAGGGCATTGGTGGTTCAGTAGTAGAATTCTCACCTTCCATGTGGGAGACCCAGATTCAATTCCTAGCCAATGCACCTTATGCACCTGTCTGTCATTGGAGGCTTGTGTGTTGCCATGCTGCTGAACAGGTTTCAGCAGAACTTCTGGACTGAGATGGACTAGGAAGAAAGGTCTGGTGATCTACTTCCAAAAATCAGCCAATGAAAACCCTATGGATCACAACAGTCCAATCTGTAACCATCATGGGGGTGGTCCAGGACTGGGCAGTGTTTCCATTGTACATGGAGTCACCAGGAGTCAAGGGTCAGCTGGTCCACAGCTAACAACAACATAGTCACTTCGTCCTTCCTCCTCTAGTACTTAAAATAGTGCTGTCACAGAGAAGAGGGAGAAAGAAGAATGGATGGGTGAAGGTAGCTTTGGGTTCTGGGTAAGAGAAGGTCATGGGATTTCCAAGGAAATAGGAAAACTTTTAAGAATGTCTTATTACCCTCAAACAGTAAGTCTTCCTTTGAGCACATAAATTGGGGCCCACTGCTCAAGATTTTGGGAGTTGGTGGCAAGGGACTGGCCTGGTGCTAGAGTTAGACCTCTAAATATAAATATCCTTTTCTATAATTTAGCTCCTTTCTGTAGGGGGAATCTTAATTTTGAAAGCTGCTCTTCTTGTTTTCCAGTTCTCTTTTATGTTTTCTGGAGTGTGGTTCTTTGGGACATGGCATCCACCACAGGAAAGCAGAATGACCAAAGCCAGCAAGAAAACTGATGGAATGGCGCCAGGGTCAACATGGATGGTGCTGAACTGAAGCCCAATCACCTCTTTAACAATCAAAAATGAAATGTTTTTCAGTACATGTATCTTTCAGCTCTTCTTTTTTACCCATTGGTTACCATTGTGACTCTGTACTAATTTTGAGTGAAATGCAAGAGAGTGGGTTAGGCATGCTCAAGTGCCCTCCATTTGCCTCCCACAGTCACATGACATGCTTCACTTTAGGTACGCCCTTAATACCTGAAACATATCCATCCTAACTTCTGATGTCTTTTCTCTAAATTATGTACAGATTATCAAGGTGATCCTCTTATCCTCAAATATTTGCCATCCTAAAGTAGCTACACAGTATGAACTTTGGTTGGTATTAAGTGGGAGCCTGAAAATTTGTCTTTGGTGACCTGATACTGGGAAACTAAACCTAATGGTTGCAAAATAAATACCTCACATAATTCCTGTGTCTGTATTTCATGACTTTTACCTCAAGTTCTTCCTTGATGTTTCATCTTTGATGTCTCAAATTTAACATGCTGGAGGCTGCTGGGAATCTGACTTAATGTGCTAGGTGATATGATGTTGGGTTATAATGGACATTGGAATTTTTCCTATAAGTGGAGCATCGGATTTAAAGAACATGCTCATTTACAACCTATTTTGACATACAGATCTTGGAATATACTCTTAGGGTACTTTGGATGCCTCTTCAGGGTGGCATGGCTTCCTGGCTAAAATGCATTGAAGAGAAACCAGTGACACCTATGTCTCTGAGTTCATCTGGGAGGCTGAGCTTCTGGCAGGTCCGGATTGCTGATTCTTACTGTTTCTGTTGTCATCTGCAGGACAGGCGTTCCCTGTGTATTTCTAAGACAGCAACAAAGATGCATTTGGATTTAAAAGGCTGACTATGCAGGTAAAGGAAGATGCACACAGATTTGCACACAGATTTAGGCTACAGTGAGCTTAAGGTCACCTTGGTAAACCGCCTATCAAGTGCTGAATTTTCCTCCATTAATTTCCTCAACAAATATACACTGAGGTCCTGTTGCGTGTTGAGCACTATTCTAGGTCCTGAGGATAGAGCAGTGAACAAAACAGACAGGGTCTCTGTTCTTATGTGTCTTACAGTCCAGTGATCACTGCTAAGTGGTTGCCAGCCTCAGCCTCTCCCAAGGCAGCCCTTTCCTGCTCTGAACAACCCATTCTGTTAGAAGTGCCTCTGCAGCTTTCACTGGTTGGTCCTAGTTCTTCCCTTGGGGCCCCACAGAACCAGTCTGTGTCTTTTTCCCTTTGTTAAGTTCAGATGTTTAAAGGCAGCTGTTCTGTGCCCCCTGAGTTTCCTCCAGCTAAATATTGCTATTGTCTTCAATGGCTTTTCAGAAAACTTGGTGTACATACCTCCTGGTCACCCTCTGAACAGGTGCCCTGGCTCGCTCTTTCTTTAATACTAACTAACTCCTGTTGCCCCAGGCACGTGTGAATCTTGTAAATTCCCCTGTACAAGCCATCTGCAACTTCCCATTTCTTTCTCCTACCAAAAGCGGTAGAATTTTTATTTTGTTGAATAGAAACATACGTTTTTATCTACATTTGAGGAGGAATTTAGTTACTACTGAGTACTTTCAAGCTGTGTTATGACTGGTAAAATTTCCCAAAAATATGTTTAAAAAAAACAAAACAGTTGCCAACAAGTCAGTTCCATCTCACGGCAACCCCATGGGTTTCAGAGTAGAGCTGTACTCCATAGGGTTTTCAATGGTTGTGACCTTTTGGAAGAAGATCACCAGGCCTTTCTTCTAAGGTGTCTCTGGGTGGACATGAACTTCCAATCTTTTGGTTAGTAGCCAAGCACTTAACCGTTTGTGCCACCTTAGAAATTCTATAATAAAGTGGTCAGTATTTAATTTTTAAGTAAAGATTTTAGACACAACCATCATCAATTAGCACCATTATCTTATAAACAGATGATGTTATAATATCAAAAATATCAAATAAGCCAGAAGGGCATAATCTCAGTATTAAAAACTCAAATAGGAAAAAAAAAAACCCGCCGTCGGGTTAACTCTGACTCATGGCATCTCCATGTGTGTCATAGTAGAGCTGTGCTCCATACGGTTTTCAGTGGCTGATTTTTGTAAGTAGATTGCCAGGCTTTTCTTCCAAGATGCCTTTGGAGGAACCAGCCAGCATCACCATTTGGGAATCTCTGCTCTTGGGACTCCCATGTAGCAGTTATGAATTACATTCAGTTGTAACAGAACCCTGAACAGTGTGGTTTAAACAATTAGCAGTTTTATTTTTCTCATGTAAATAGAAGTCTGAAGATAGTCCAAGGTTGATATGGCTGCTCCATGATGCCGTCAGGGACTCCAACTTCTGTCTTTATATTTTTCTTTTGGCTCAGCATTCCTTAGCTTAAATTCATCATCATCTGATCCCAACATGCCTGCTCTGTCACCAGCAAGTGTAGGTAGGAGGAAAGGAAAGAGCAAAGGAGAAGGCCAGTTGAACTGGCCTTTTAATTAGCTTTCTCCAAAACCCACCCCATGTATTCTTTTTTTTAAAAAAAATTCATTATATTTTATTTTTGTTGTGGTTGAAAACGTACACAGCAGAACAGCCAAACACACCTACACCAGTTCAACAATTCATACATATACAATTCAATGACATTGATTACATTCTTCAAGCTGTGCAACCATTTTCACCCTCCTTTTCCTAATTGTTCCTCCACAATTAATGTGAACTCACTGCCTCCTAAGTTTCTTTAACCTTTCGAGTGGCTGTTGTAAATCTGAACTGTGGATCCTTTTTTATAAATTAAAAATTTAGATACACAATGAACATAATGAATAATGCTTCTTGTAAAAAAGTAAACCTGTGCAGATGTGACCACAGTCTCTTTGGTCACCTTCCCCAACCCAGTGCCCACACTTAATGATAAATTGAGTGACTGTTACCAGTTTATCCATTTGCAGTATATCTTTAAATATATATGTGTGTGTGATTGTTGTTAGTTGCCGTCAAGTTGATTCTGACTTACGGTGACCCCATGTGAACAGAGTAGAACAGTGCTCCATAGGGTTTTCAAGGCTGTGACCTTTCAGAAGCAGATGGCCAGGCCTGTTTTCCATATATGTGTGTATATGTATGTTGTTAGCTGCCATCGAGTGGGCTCCTGACTCATGGGGACCCCATGTACAAGGGAAAAAAATGCTGTCCAGTCCTGTGTTGTACTCATGATTGGTTGAGGACCGAACTGTTGTACTCCACAGGGTTTTCACTGGCTGAGTTTTAGACGTAGATCTCCAGGCCTTTCTTCCTAGTCCATCTTAGTCTGGAATCTCTCCTGAAGCCTGTTTAGCATCATAGCAACACGCAAGTCTCCACTGACAGATGAGTGGTGATTTTGCATGAAGTGCATTAGGCTGGAATCAAACCCAGGCCCCCTGCATGCGAGGTGAGAATTCAACCATTGAGCCCCCAATACCTTTCATTCCCCCATGGATGGACATGTATGTAGTTACCAAGTGTTTGTTATCAAAAACAATGCTGCAAGTGAGAACCCTTTTACATGTCTCCCTGTGTATATGTATGGAACTTTTTTTTAAAATTATTTTTTCCCCATACAAAAATTTATATATTACATTGTTATGTGACTCTAATTGCTCTCCCGATACGGTGACAGCGCACTCCTCCTTTCCACCCCTGATTCCCCATGTCCATTCAACCAGCTCCTAACCCTCTCTGCCTTCCCATCTCAACTCCGGACAGAACCTGCCCATTTAGTCTCTTGCATCTACTTGAGCTAAGAGGCACACTCCTCATGAGTATCACTTTATGTCCCACAGTCCAGTCCACTCCCTGTCTCAAGAGTTGGCCTTGGAAATTGTTTTAGTTCTGGGCTGATAGAGGATCCAGGGGCCATGCTTTCTGGGGTTGTTCTAGTCTCAGGTGGACCATTAAGTCTGGTCTTCTTACTAGAATTTGAGTTCTGCACCCCACCTTTCTCCTGCTCCATCCGGGACTCTCTGTTGTGTTCCCTGTCAGGGTGGTCATTAGTGGTAGCCGGGCACCATCTAGTTCTTCTGGTCTCAGGCTGATGAAGTCTCTGGTTTATGTGGCCCTTTCTGTCTCTTGGGCTACTACTTTCCTTGTATCTTTGGTGTTCTTCATTCTCCTTTACTCCAGGTGGTTGGGACCAGTTGATGCATCTTAGATGGCCGCTTGCAAGCTTTTAAGACCCCAGACGCCACTCACGAAAGTAGGATGCAGAACATTTTCTTAATAAGCTTTGTTATGCCATTTGACCTAGATGTCCCCTGAAAGCATGGTCCCCAGACCCCTTCCCCTGCTACTCTGTCCCTCAAAGTGTTTGACTGTATTCAGGAAACTTCTTAGCTTCGGTTTAGTCCCATTGTGCTGACTTCCCCTGTAGTGTGTGCTGTCCTTCTCTTCACCTAAGATAATTCTTATCTACTATCTAGTTAGTAAATAACCCTGACCTTCCCTCCCCACCCTCGTAACTATCAAAGAACGTTTTCTTCTGTGTTTAAACCTTTTCTTGGGTTCTTATAATAGTGGTCTTATACAATATTTGTTCTTCTGTGACTGACTAAATTCACTCAGCATAATGCCCTCCAGCTTCCTCCTTGTTACAAGATGTTTCACGACTTCATCGTTGTTCTTTATCATTGTGTAGTATTCCATTGTGTGGATAGACCATAATTTGTTTATCTGTTTTTCTGTTGATGGGCACCTAGGTTGTTGCCATCTTTTTGCTATTGTGAACAGTGCTGCGATGAACATGGGTGTACATATATCTATTCGTGTGACGGCTCTTATTTCTCTAGGATATATTACAAGGAGTGGGATAGCTGGATCCTATGGTACTTCTATTTCTAGCTTTTTAAGGAAGC